CCGGTGCTGTTTCTTGTATACGTGAATGACATGATGAAAGAGATAGATTCAGAGGTGTCCCTGCTTGCAGACGATGTGAAACTAATGAGGGGAATACAAACCGACGAGGATCAGGTAAGTTACAAGGGGATCTGGACGGCCTGCAAGTCCGGTCCAACAAATGACTTCTGGAGTTTAGCCTCAGCAAGTGCAAAGTTATAAAGCTTCGGGATGGACAAAGAAGACGGCAGACGGAGTACAGCCTAAGAGGTCAGAGGCTGCAAAACTCACTCAAGGAAAAGGATCTTGGGGTGAGCATCATACCGAGGAGCACGTCAGTCAAAAAACTGCTGCATTAAACTGCCGCCTGGCAAACCTGAAAATAGCGATTCGACATCCAAGTAAACAGTCATTCACTACACTGTACACTGTGTACGTCAGGCTCGTACTGGAGTACGCAGCACCAGTCTGGAACCAACAACTGATCAAACACGTCAAGAAAGTAGAGAAAATGCAAAGGTTTGCAACAAGGCGAGTCCCGGAGTTGAGTGGTTTGTCCTACGACGAGAGGTTAAGGGAACTCAACTTGACAAAACTAGAGGACAGAAGGGACAGGTATGATATAATAACGACATATAAAAAACTGAGAGGAATTGACAACGTGGATGTGAGATGTGAGACAGCAACAAGGAGTCACAACTGGAAGATGAAAACTGAAATGAGTCACAAGGATGTTAGGAAGTACTTCTTCAGTCGCAAAGCTGTCAGGAAGTGGAATAGTCTGGAGAATGATGCAGTGGAGGCAGGCTCCATACATAGCTTTAAGAAGAGGTATGATAAAGCTCATGGAGCAGAGAGTGGACCTAGTAGCGACCAGTGAAGAGGCGGGGCCAGGAGCTATGACTTGACCATTGCATCACAATTAAATGAGTACACACACGCACACACAAAGAGGTAATCGATTAGCGATGTGGAGAAGGTTGACTGGTCAAGCACAGCTGTCATATACAGCAATTACTAAACTCTTTGAGTGTGAAATGTATTTTTCGAGTAAAGGCAGGAACCTGTGGGTAGTATGAAGTGTGTGGGTAGAGTGTGTGGGTAGTGTAGAGTGTGTGTGTAGTGTAGAGTGTGTGGGTAGTATGAAGTGTGTGGGTAGAGTGTGTGGGTAGTGTAGAGTGTGTAGTGTGAGTGTGTGGAGTGTAGTGTGTGTAGTGTAGAGTGTGTGGGTAGAGTGGAGTATGTGGTAGAGTGTGTGGGTAGTGTAGTGTGTGGGTAAGTGTAGAGTGTGTGGTAGTAGTGTGGTAGTGTAGTGTGTGAGTTGTAGAGTGTTGGGTAGATGGAGTATGTGGGTAGAGTGTGTGGGTAGTGTAGAGTGTGTGTGTATGTAGATGTGTGGGTATTTATGAAGTGTGTGGTAGAGTGTGTGGGTAGTGTAGAGTGTGTGTGTAGTGAAAGAGTGGTGGATAGTGTAGAGTGTGTGTTAGTGTAGATGTGTGGTAAGTAGTATGTGGTAGAGTGTGTGGGTTAGTGTGAATGTGTTGTAGTGTAGAGTGTGTGGGTAGTATGAAGTGGTTGGTAGAGTGTGTGGGGTAGTGAGAGTGTGTGTGTAGTGTAGAGTGGTGGTAGTGGAGTATGTGGGTAGAGTGTGTGGGTAGTGTAGAGTGTGTGTATAGTGTAGAGTGTGTGGGTAGTATAAGTGTGTGGTTAGAGTGCGTGGGTAGTGAGAGTGTGTGTGTAGTGTAGAGTGTGTGGTAGTGGAGTATGTGGTAGAGTGTGTGGGTAGTGTAGAGTGTGTGGGTAGTGTAGAGTGTGTGTGTAGTGTAGAGTGTGTGGGTAGAGTGGAGTATGTGGGGTAGAGTGTGTGGGTAGTGTAGAGTGTGTGGGTAGTATGAAGTGTGGAGAGTGTGGGTAGTGTAGAGGTGTGTGTAGTGTAGAGTGTGTGTGGTAGAGTGGTAGTATGGGTAAGATTTGTGGGTAGTAGAGTGTGTGTGTAGTGTAAGGTGTGTGGGTAGAGTAGAGTATGTGGGTAGAGTGTGTGGGTAGTGTGAGTGTGTGTGTAGTGTAGAGTGTGTGGGTAGAGTGGAGTATGTGGGTAGAGTGTGTGGGTAGTGGTAGAGTGTGTGTGTATGTAGAGTGTGTGGGTAGAGTGGAGTATGTGGTAGAGTGTGTGGGTAGTGTAGAGTGTGTGTGTAGTGTAGAGTGTGTGGTAGAGTGGAGTATGTGGGTAGATGTGTGGGTAGTGTAAGTGTGTGTGTAGTGTAGAGTGTGTGGTAGAGTGGAGTATGTGGGTTAAGTGTGTGGGGTAGTGTAGAGTGTGTGTAGTGTAGAGTTGTGTGGTAGAGTGGAGTATGTGGGTAGAGTGTGTGGGTAGTGTAGTGTGTGTGTAGTGTAAGTGTGTGTGGGTAGAGTGTGGGTATGTAGTGTTGTGTAGTGTAAGTGTGTGGTAGAGTGTGTGGTATGTAGAGTGTTTTGAGTGTAAGTGTGTGGTAGAGTGGAGTATGTGGGTAGAGTGTGTGGG